GACGATAGGTTTGTTCGGTAGCTCACGGAGTACGGAGACGTACTTGAGAGGTGAGGAGCTCCGGTTCGAATCCCGTGTAACTACATTGTAAAAAAAATTCCGTAAAATTTACGGTAAAAAACCGGCAGCTGTGGTTGCCGGAATTTTACCGTAAAAAATACGGTAGCAACGTTTTAGGTTTTACGGTTTTAACTTAAATTTACAGTTGAATACCGTAATTTCATTAACTGATATAATGTTAATATACCAACCTATTGAAGTACTGAAATCTGTTTTGTACCTTTGTAATACACTAACCACCAAATGCATGTGGTGATGAGAAAGTCACATGATGAACCAAAGCCCATCACAAGCAGCTTTTAAATAATAACATATATAGAAGGTGCACAGTGTCATTCACACAAACACCAAACACCATCATGGTAACACACATGAAACTAAAATAATGCAAAAAACATTAATTTAACAACATTAGGTGTAACACACAACCCTAATGTACAAAACTGATAAGAAAAAACTAAGAAGAAACCGTTATTTCAACAAAAAAACATCAAATTTAAATGTAACACAGGGAATTCTGGGAATGTCAATTTACGGTTATTCATAGTAAATTATACGCTCTTTTTCACTTCCAAAAATGGTATACTACCGTAAAATTAATGTCCAATACATGTAATGTCCAATACAGTTTTTCACTGTATATAGTAGGGGAATTTACCGTTAACCATTTAACAGGATTTTACTGTAGCATTTTTACAGTCTTTTACCGTTAAATTCACGGTCATTTTTTACAGTGTATGTACTCTACTTCTCTCAGCATGAGATTTGAAGTGACCTCTATGACCAGTGCTGGTTTGTGGTTTCTCTAAGCCATGACCGTCGGTTTCAGTGGCATCCAGGTTAACGGCAGACTTCAGTCCCTTGTGTGCTAATATAATGAAGCCCTCTGTGCTATATTTGTACATTAGGCTTTGAGTGAGTGCGCATGAGCTGCCGAGGCCCTTAACTCTGCTTTGATTATTTCCACACTGTATGGTCACACTCATCATATAAGCAGATTCATAAAATTTAAGAGGTCATTTAATGTTTACAGAGAATAGAGCATCTTTATTGGCTTTTGGATGGCAGCCAATGTCATATATATATTTAACAACATTATATTATGGACCACGTCTAGCAGACATATAAAGAGGAGTTGTTATTCCAGTCCATTTGCATGTACTGATATTTTACTGATAAATCATTTCCATTTAACTGGCTTTGAAGAACATGCAGTCCCTTGTAAAGGGGGTTTGCTGATTTAATGAACACATACACCCCATTTTTTACAATTTCAGGCCCTGCATCTGGAAATGATGCAAATTCCACTTCACTACCGACTTGTGTAAAATCACTTATCCTCTTCAGCCATGATTCCTGTTTGCTTGTTATTCATGGTCATAACTTAAAAGCCAGATAGGTTTGGTGTCCATGTTTTACCCACAAAATAAGCAACATTTGTGCTAAATGTCATTCATTTCTATTTGGACGTTACGCTTCATTCTGTGTTCATTTGTATCAGTTACTGCTTGCCACGTGGAGGGAGGCGTGAGAATTCAGCACCTGAGTACATGTGACTATCTCTGAAAACAAACACAAATATAGATTTACAAATACTCCTAGGCTGATAACACAGTTATTGGAAATGGAGATGGAGACGTCTTCTTACAACAGAGCTCTAATAGTTACACTATTGCAAAAGGACAGAATAAAGTAAAACCAGTTGGCATGAACAACAGTGGAGTGTCTGGCGCTATAGAAGAGTTTAGGAAGTTTTCAAAGTGGCTGATGTATACCTGAACACCATGCAGGACCAAAGGAAAGGAGATAGAGAAACAGGTCAGTACAAGAAATATGGTTTCATTGTTTTAAGCAAATTAAATTAATGAACGTTTTATTTATATTATATAATCTTTATAAAATAATGTTTTTTATTTAGTAAAAGTGAAAAAAAAGAATAAAAGATAACCATGCTAACAATGGTGTTTTTTTGTAAACAAAATAAATTAAATGTATTTTTATGTTATATAATATGAATTAATATTTATTACATAATATTTTATTCATTAATTAAAAATGAATACAAATAATAAAAGGTAACCATGTTGACAATGGTGAGCATTATTTTAAACAAACATAACTTTTTATTTATATTATATAATATGAATTATATATTTATTGAGATTGAGTGAAAAATAAATAAAGGAGAACCATGCAAACAATGGTAGGCATTATTTAAAAAATAAATAAATTTATATTTAGCATTAGAAAGTCTATTTAGTGATCTTTATGATTTGCAATGTGCCATCACTCTCCTGACAGTTTTAGTTAATCATTAAAATAAGTAAAATATTATTTTTTTTAGACCATGAAATATTTATTATATAATATTTGTATTTCATTTATTAAAAATAAATACAATTAATAAAAGAGAACCATGTTCTCAAAAAAAAAATCTTATTTTGAATAAAAAGCCTGTTTTAGGATCTTTAAAATTAGCAATATTCCAAAATTTACCTGACAATTAAGCAGTTAATATTATATAATATTTATTATATAGTATTTGTAGATATTTATTAAAAATAAATAATAAACATCCCAAATTCTCATTAAAATAAATATCTGATTCCCAGCATAAATCATTTATCAGCATAATTTAAAGGCATTGCAACAAAAACTACCATTACAATTTAAAGAACATAGCTTTAATTAGCATGAAATGCAAAGGGCTAATAAAATAGTACTAAATAAGCTTCCTCATATTCTTTAAGCAAAGTAGATTTTTATTTTTGGCTTTGGGGTAAAATATGATCTTGTTCATCACAGGTTTCATCAATCTCTGAGCATTAAAAATTAGGTGAAAAAAAATGGATGGGAAAATGTAAAATTAGATACAGCGAGGAATGATCATTATAAATAGAATGGAAGAACAAAAATGACAGCTCCTCTGAGGAACCTAATCCAAGAGAAACCATATCCTTCCATCAGAGTAACGTAGAGTAGTGAGAAAAGGTGATCTGAATTAAAAAATAAGAGCGACAGCACATTTCTTCCAGCATGCTGCATATATATCTTTAGAAGACTGTTTAAGCTTCCCGGATCCCAGCTCTCACCCAAAGGGATCTCCATGGGGTAAAGCCCAGCAGTGTAAACATTTCTCTCAGCTTGACATGGGGCACAGACAGACCAAAGAAAAGCCCAGTGTGAGGGAGCGAGAGAGACGACAGGAGCATTATTAGAGGAGGAGGGCGAATGGAGGAAAATGACAAGCGTCAATTTCTTTGGCAGCCGACTGACTGACAGCTTCGGAGCACAGTTAAGATTAACTAACAGCAGCTTCTTGTTAAAGTGGGATTGAAAGCAGATGTGGCGCTTTACTACTAATAGCGGTTTCGCCTCCAGCCAACCACTGCGCACCTAAAGCATGTGGCTGTGTCTCAAAACCTAGTGTGATGCCTATCTAGACAGCACTGTGGAAAGCATGGTGCCCAAAAATGCTGTTTAGGTTGGAAGCTCGGTTTTGAGACAGCCAATCTGTTACATGCTGATCTACATTAGTTTAGTTCAGCTCTTGGCTGTGTTTGGAATGGAATAATAAGTAGTGTACTCTTTACTGTGCAGTATATACTGTGTACCGTCACAGATGCTTTAATAGAATGCTAAAAAGTAAAATAAATATTGTTTTTATACGAGAATTGCTTTTATAGCAAAGAATAATTTTCAAACATTAGTAACTATGCTGCATTGTCCAGTAATATTGTGGTTGCTGCATGTTTTGCTTTCTGATAAAAAAAAAATATAAAAAAAAATAAAAAAGAATTGCAGCTGACAGCTTGTGCCTCATTCACTATACTTAAAAAGGAAAGCCAATTTGGGAGCACTGCATTATGGGTGACAGTTTTACACAGTATGCTACATACTATGATATTTTAAGGATACAGAAAAATTACATACTGTGCACGATACATAGCGCAGAAATAGTATGTCAATATGCCATTTTAAACAAATGCACTTTTCGCGGGTATAAAAAGACCACGTGATGTGCTCACAACATTATTTTGAACGTACCATAGGCTAGCATTTAAAAATAGCATAGCCTACATATACATACTAAATATTAGCCTAATAAAAAAGTATTTTAATTAAATCTCGTGCCAGACATTTATATCCAAATTTATGTCATCATACTCATAATTTGCCTATATAAAAACAATTAACTGATTATTTGAGAGACCATGCATTTTATATTGCATTTTATAACGAAAAAAAAAACATTGTATTATAAATATATTTTTTAATATATTTTGAATAACATGTATATTATTTAATGTGCAGTATTTTTATGAAAAGTACGTTTTTTTTTGACGGAGCCTGAAAACATCGTTTAAAAATAGCACGAAAATGCTTAACTAAGCACATTTACCATATTTCTCACATTCAGTACGTTTAACCATCTCACATTAGCTGCTATTTAAAACATTTTGTTTCATTTGTTTTTTTTTTGTGTTTTTTTTTAGAAGGTCACCGTCCAGGTCGTTAAACAAACAGTTTAATTTTTGTCCCCATTTAAAACATTTTGTTTCATTTGTTTTTTTGTGTGTTTTTTTTAGAAGGTCACCGTCCAGGTCGTTAAACAAACAGTTTAATTTTTGTCCCATTTCCAACTCAATAAAACAATTAAATCGCAAGCAACGATTAATTTTTTTCTCTCTTAATTTTCCAGGCTTGGCCATTGTGGACTCGACAGAAGTGTCTCACCTGCACACATCAGACGCGTGCTTCACTCACCTCAGGTAATGACACAGGTAGAATCTCTCCAGTAGAAGTGCGCGACGGTATCCAAAAATACGACAAAATGAAGCGGCAGTGGTTAAGAAAGCCTTAAAGGATTCAAACAGTTCCTTAAGGTGAGTAGTAACCTCTCCAGGCGATTATTCAAGCATAGAGTGAACAGTCAAGACATTGGCCAGGTATTAAATCTACAGAGCACGTTTAAAATGTAGATCCCACCCACGTCCGAAATGGGAAGAGCAGGCAGGATTTCATCGGGGGGTTGCAGCAGGAGAGAGAACATTTACGCTTTCTTTCAGCGAGCCTACAGAAATTCCTTGCGGACGGTTCTGCTTTAGTCCACGATTGATGCACGAGCTCTTGAAGTGCCAGTGAACACAAACCTGACTTCAGTCTGAATTTCATTTACATGCTAGTTTCTTTATAGGCTTCCTATGAAATATTAATACGGGCTATAATAAAGATAGTAGGCATAAATCTCTTTCAGAACTTACTGGAGTGCAGTTTATATGAAGGGAACGTGAATTTTAGATTGTCCTTTAAGTATGATAATGGAATTAGAAAAAAAACATTGTTAAAATAGTTTTAAAGTACAGCATGTTAAACTGCATGAAGTGAATTTGAGATTGTCCTTTAAGTATGATAATGGAATTAGAAAAAAACATTGTTAAAATAGTTTTAAAGTACAGCATGTTAAACTGCATGATTCTTCATGTCAACTACCCATACAATGTATTATAAGTGTTGTGTGTAATAATAAAAAAAAAAGGGCAAACACTGGGATCAAATTTGACCTTCATCCTAATGTGCTCAAAGTGGGAAATAACATCAGTGCCCCTTTGACCCTGTCTCCTCCTGGGAAGGCCTCAAATAAAACCCAGGCAGACTGACTGAAACATCCTAAGCCTGGGGAATGACGCGAGTTTCAATTAAAGCACTTCACTCTGCTGGGAAATATCACATTTATATCATTGGGGTCTTAATAAGAGGAATTATAACTCCCAAGCTGTTTCGAATTGAGTAAGCAATAAAATTAGCCATTTAAAAGTCAAACATTGAAAATGAGAAACTGCAAACAGATCATATTAAGTTCAAAGTATTGAGTTGTGTTAATAAGTTTTTACTGTTTTTGAAACAAGTGTTTTATGTTTATCAAGGCTGCTATTACTTGATCAAAAATACAGTAATATAATTTATTCATGTGATGTCAAAGCTGTATTTTCAGCATCACTACTCCAGTCTTCAGTGTTACATGCTCCTTCAGAAATCATTCTAATATGGTTTTCTGCTCAAAAAACATTTCTTATTATCATCAGTGTTGAAACCAATTGTGCTGCTTACTGAACTGTGATACTTTTTTGTTTTCAGGATTCTTTGATGAATAGAATAGAGAGTTGTGCTTGACCCAAAAAAATTAAAATCATGTCATTATTTACTCACCACCAGTATGTCATGCCAAACCCATGAGATCTTAATTCTTTTGAGGAACACAAAGGGACATATTTTCTTATTTTTACACATAAGGCTCCCCTTCTGTGCCATTGGCATTTATCCTAAAATGATTTAAAAAGCAAATTGGGATAAAAAGGATTTATTTTGAAATATTTTGCCCTAAATGTATCACATTTTCTAGCTCTATAAAAAAATTTTTTTTTTAATAATTGGAAAGTTATCTCTTCATCTCTGCTGCAGTCTACACATTCAAACTACCCACAGAAAAAATGCCTTGTATTCAGAATATCTATTATCATAACTCATATCTATTACTGAATCATAAATGCTGCTTGTTTCTATAGTTAATGTCAAAAAGCGCTGTAAGACCATCACAGACATAAAGGACAGCCAAGAAAGCTGTTAATGCCCCTACTTTATGAGATAATACCAATATTTATTTTTCGAAACTGGAAAGGACTTATTCCATGATTGGATCTTTGAGAAATGCACAGCTAGTTTACTTGAAAGGGTAAACTGCTTGAGTTTGGAGAGGATGCATTTTGATTTACCACCCTTTTACCATTTTGTAACACTAAGTTTAAAATAAATATTTTTGTGAATCACTAGGGAGGATCAGAATTTCTCCCCTTTGCCAAAAGTAACCAGAGATTCAGTGAGGCAATACCTTCAGTTCAGACCTGACCAATCAGTGATCATCTTACATGCCAAAGTTGCTCAGAAGTCTTACGGCAATGAGAAGAGGTAAAAATTATTTTCATCTATACACTTACATTTCCAACAGTGAAAAACACATGCATATACATACATAAAGAATTTACTGAAAAATGTAAAGTGATAAGAAAATATCTGAATCTTGTTGGAAAAACCACATCAGACCAGCTTAAACTGGTTTTTGGAACAGGGAAGCTGGTTTGTTAGCAGATGGTCTACCAGGTCTAAACAGCTTAATAAAGATGGACTACCCATTCAACCAGGTCTCCGCCACCTGGTCAACCAACTTGGACCAGATAATGAATAGCTAGAAACCAAGCTTTTAGATTTTTTTTTTAACTGAATTCAACTGGATAATGACATTAACTTTGCAACTATGAAATAAATCATCACTGAACTGACTAATGAACTTGCCTTCTGTACAGCTTCGAATAGCTTAATTAAACTAATAAATGAACTCATTGACAGTTATTGAACTAAACATTCAATTGAGCTGAATGATACTCTTGTCGTCTGTAGAGCTGCTTTACTGTTGAATTTGTTTCATAATTGATGAATTTTACAACAGTGACACTGTTATTTTCCTGTTTATTAATGTGAAGCTGCTTTGAAGCAATCTGTATTGTGAAGCGCTAAATAAAAAAAAACTTGTTTTAAATGTATTTTCCTCAATGTTTTAGAGTTATTTGATCACTTACTGGATCATTTACAAGAAGTAAAACTATTGCGCACCCTCTTTCTTCATGTCTCATATCCAAAAATAAGTTTTGTGCATTTTCATAGGTTTTTCTGTCCGCCTCCTTGCGTGTATCTCAGTGGACACGGATGGAAACTCAGACAGGAGCAACTTAAAGGTCAGTGAGCTGTGAGAGAACATCTTCATTCTTACCCTTGTAATTCACTGTAATTTTATCATTGTATTCACACAGCATCAGGTCTAGGAGAGTTCAGTTGTTGGCTTTTCGGTTACATGGGTCTGGACAGCTCCGCTGATCCACGGACAGACAGATTCAAGCTGAGCTTTGAGGAGCAGACAGACAGGAGGGTGAGACATTGCCGAAGCCCAGCGATCAAAGAGGAGAGAGTCTGTCGGGTTTATGAGAGAACATGACTGCTGTGTGTTCAGATGGATTTGGAGATGGGATCATATGTTTATTCTACTAGTGTTACAACCAGGTTTATGTAAGGAGGGCAGATGGATGAACATGAAGAAGAATGATCTTTAAACTTCCTGACCATAGAAAATAATACTCACAAATAAGATCTCTTGAATATATCACCAAAACAGCAATGAGATTAAATGGAGAGCAAACTTCTGATAAAGTTATTTCCTTGTCAGATTTATGTTGCAGGGAAAAACACATATGTTCTCCTCTTCAGATGAGATCTCAGAAATATCTCAAACTGTGCTCAGATTTACCAAGATGCAATCAAAAGATCTCAAAATAAACTCATGTGTATAACAATATTTCTTCCAAGAGCAAATGATCTGAGCTGTTTTGATGTTAATGTTATTGCTTTAGATACAATTGACAATTACACTGCCATTCAGAAGTTTGGGGTCAGTAAGAAATTAATCAGCATAGATGATTTCTATTTCAAGTTAATTCTCTTCTTTTGAACTTTTTTTTTTAAATCAAAGAATGTTTAAAAATGTAGCATAATAAATATTAAGCAGCACAACTGTTTTCAGCATTGATAATAATACGATTTTTTTCTTGAGCAGCAAATCAGCATATTACAATGATTTCTGAAGGATCATGTGACACTGAAGACTGGAGTAATGATGCTGAAAATTCAGCTTTGCATCACAGGAATAAATTACATTTTACAATATATTCAAATAGAAAACGGTTATTTTAAATTGTAAACATTTTATTACAGTTTTACTGTATTTTTGATCAAATAAATGCAACCTT